CATGGCCCAGCAGGCTCAGGAATAATCCTTCCAGCATGGCCCAGCAGGCTCAGGAATAATCCTTCCAGCATGGCCCAGCTCGCTCATGATGAGGGTGACTTAGCCTCTGTTGCATGTGCTTGCTTCACACATTGGTGGGTTCTGGATTCTATTATACCACATAAATAACTGGCACATTATATTTTCCTGTAGGACAATTATACTTCAATAAATTAAACACATAAATGTAAGAATGCAAGTTTAGAGAATCGGGATAGCTTAGTTAGCTCCTGGTCTAAAAAGTATCAGCTGTACTGTTTTCAGTTGCGTGCTTATATACGCTGATACAGTATGCGTTGATTGTATTGTTTCATGAATTAATTCAGTAAGAATCTCAAGTTCTTTGGTTCCTGGGTTTCCCATCAGCTGCTTTGTTTGTTTTCTGCTTTGTCCCACATTATTAGATCCAACTGTATAACAACGAACTTCAGGGAATCAGCAACTATGGTTTTGCATCTTTGACACTTGATGGTTCTTTAATGTCTCCTGCGACACTGCGCACTTCAGGCAGAAACTTTAACGTCACTGCTCTGGACCACAGTATGGTAGAAGCCTTGCGGGCTTGGGCGTCCACACATGCGCCACCTCCCTCCACCGTACTGCAGCTCTCTGACGTCCACCCCATGCAGTACTGTGACCTGACCTGTCAGCTCCTGGGCAAAGCAGAAGTGGATGGGACATCTTTTCTTCTGAAGGTACATTTTAAACCCTTGAGGCTGTGCATTGGCACCGCCCGCCAGTAAGGAGCCAGCGGCGCTCTGGCGACTGATGTACAAACTATTTTATACTGAGTTAAGACGCTCGATGCTGTGCTCCTGCATTTCTCTGTGCTTTCCCTCGGAGAAAACACCATTGTCAGATGTGTACTTTACAAGTATGACATGCTGCATTTATTTCTTATTTTAATAATAAAACACACGTTGGTTCTTTTTAGTGACACTGCAGGGTGCATTTCTGCTGCGTTGTGAAAGTCAGCGATCAGGGTCTGTTCTCATTCAGTCCAGCCCTGTCATAACCGCCTGACTCACGGGAGAGGCACAGATAAAACTGAGATGTTTCTTATCATTCTTGTTTTTAAATCAGCCAGAAAGAAAAATAAAGTGACATAAGTAATGCCCATGAATGACCTGCAGAAGGCCACTACTTAATCAAATTTTTTGTTGGACCATACTTTCCAGGATTTTTTTGAGCATATGACCAAGGTCCTGTGCTTAATCCTCTGTCCATCAGTGGAGTGTGGTGGTGCTTGGACAAGACTGCGGGCTTTAGCATTCCAAAGGAACGCTCACAGCGAGAACAGCGGCTTTATGTGAACAGTGCTGTGAGAAAGTAAATACTTAAAAGTGAGCGAGTGAAGGAGGCTACCCGGAACTGAAGGCAGCGCATGCTCACTCGTGATTAGATAAGCCGCCCATGTCCCCTGACCAGCCTAACATTCTTAACACATGATATTTACCAGCCACTAAACATTCCCGAGCACAAAGATGCCGACTGTGTGCCGAGTTCCTTGAGACGATTATGCTGAGAAAAGCAGTTAAATTCTGAGCCAAAGCCCCACGAGCCTTTTAGTGGGTAGAGGCGAAAGTGCATTTTCTCTCTCGAGCACTGTGTGGGTAGATATATTTCTTTACATGCGTCATCCAGCTCTTGAGTAACTCATTTGTACGTTGGAGAAAGAGTTTTTCTTTAAAAAAAAATCTACTCTGAGAATTTCATGCTCGTATGCAATGAAATGTGATCATAGTCCACTCCCACATCTTCCTCTCACTGTCCCTCATCCCTACAAAACACCCCACTCCCAACTTCATGTCCTCGACTTTTTTATTGAAATAGCTCAGTAAGTCCGCTTAGCACTGCCCATGTGTGCTAGAGTGGGCCCTTCTCCGGGGCGTGGTCCTCCTCAGTGCCGCACTTCCTCTCCAGCAGTTTGGAAAAAGTACACTTGGAGCAAAACCTGTTGTGCGGACTACTTATGTGTGATAGAATGTTCTTTAACTATATAGTAAAGTTAGAGACATGGACTTGTTGAAATAAACCTTAGTAATAGTCTGCTTATTGATATGCCTGCATTTATAGACTGAAAATGTTCAGACGATAGCAAAAATGTCTTTGGAGGTAAATATGGTAACAATATTCTCTTAACGACTTTTGCAGAATGGAGTTTTGATTTTTTTTTCTGATAATTTTGTTCTTTGAGATATGGTCTCTCTACAAAGCCCTTGCTGTCCTGGCTTACTATGTAGACCAGACTGGCCTTGAACTCACAGAGATCTGCCTACAGTAGTAGTCTGCACCACTACTGCTGGCCTCAGACATAATTTTTTAATTAAATATTAAAAACAGAAGCAAGCAGACATTATTCTCTCTGAATTATACCTGGTTAGTATGCAAAGTAATATAATTATTTCCTTTTTCAACCTTAGCACAGTGCTAACTGTGGCCCCCTTTTTAGTAATCATGATGCATCCATTTCCGGCTTTCTCAGCAGCCCTATGTTCTCGTATCATTTCTTTTGCTGTGATAAGACCTCACAAGCAACCTAGGGAAGGGTTAATCTGGTTTATACTTGTAGGTCGCAATCCCGAGGATATCAGGGCAGGTGCTCAGTCAGGAACTTGAAGCTTGAAATTCCACACCAAAAATCCTCTAACTTTAAACGTAGAATTCATGCAAAACTCAGTAAGTATGACAGAAGTCATGGAGGATGCTACCACATATTCACTGGCTTATAGGCCAGCTTGTGCTTGGTCAGGACCATCTGCCTAAGGATGATGTAGCCCACAGTGGACTGGGCCCTCCTGTATCCATGAATAACCAAAGCAGTCTTCCTCACACAAGCCAGTCTGATCTTGGCAGTTAAGTGGGGCTCTCTTCTCAGACAAATCTGGGCTTTGTCAAGCTGACAGTTAACCAGATAATCATGTTTTACCAGTGGCTTACAAATGTATTTTTTATTCCATGTATGTGTGGGAATATGCACATTTCTACAGATGCCTGGAGAGGCATAAGACTGTCTGATCCCCTAAGGTTGAGGTTCCAGGCAGTTGTCAGATGTTTGACGTGGGTGGTGGGAACCAAACTACGGCTTCTGCAAGAGCAGCCTTGTCAGCTACTGAGTCAGCTCTCGGCCCTCAGTAATCTTTAAAAATCATTGTACGTTTTGGTCTGTTCTTTTGTTTATACAGTGTTGGTATGGAGCAAATGCTTTTCAGTTGTAATTTGTTCAAGCATACTGTTTGTTTTGTTTTGTTTTTGTTACTCAGCTTGAAACTGTTCCAGTTTCATGATTTAACACCTGCATTCCATCTCAGAGCTTTGTCTTTGGTAGAAATGCAGAAGTCAGACGTTCCCAAGGGCTGGGGTGTGAGCACAGTATCTTTGAGCCCAGAATAGAAAAAAAAAAATCAGTCTACATGTGCACCAGGTTAATGTTTCATGTGGCATCGTATGGTGATTTTTCACATCTTCCTACATTTGTTATATGACAGACAGTTGCTGCTTAGGCATTCCATGGTCACAGAATAAGGGCTTCACACTTTAAAGCATTACAAATACCAGCGTATGTCTGCTCATTTTTAAATTTGACTCTGTTTTTGCAAAAATATACTTAAGGTTTGCTTTACTGCCCTGTGACAGGTATGGGATGGCACCAGGACGAAGTTTCCCTCTTGGAGAGTCTGCATCCAAGACCTTGTGTTCGAAGGTGACTTAAGTCACATTCTGCGGCTACAGAATCTGGTGATAGACATTGTAGTTTATGATAATCATGTCCAAATGGCAAAATCCCTGAAGGTGATGTTGACTAGAAAGATGTATGCTATTTTGTTTCTGTGTTCTTTTTAGTTGTAATTTTTGTTGTTATAGTTTTACTTGTAGATTTATGTTATTTAGAGTCTAGAAATTCATTTCAGATTGACTTGCTTTCAGCTTTTAAGTTTAGAAAACATATGTGTGTCTAAGTTAAAGAAAGCTCTGAACCCATCTTATGCAGCCATAAATTTTTATTGTAATTTTGAGAATATAATTATATCACATTATTTATCCCTTCCTTCCTCCAGACCCTGCCCTGTATGTCCTTCCCCTTACTTACTTCCAATTCTTGGCCTCTTTTTCTTTGTTGTTAATGTGTATATTATGATGTTGATTCATAAATATATAAATACTATATGTTTGATCTTTATAGTGTTACTTGCATGCATGTTTTAATGTGACATTTGGTATTGGATAACCAGTTGAGGGGCTCATCCCCGGAGACTTTCTCCCACGCTCAGCACCGCTGGGCTGCCTGCAGTTCTTTGTTTAGAAACGAAGCATCATGGCCTTTCTCCCTTCCACATTAGATGTCTGTTGGTATCATCCTTGTTCAGGTCATGTTTAGGCAGCCTTGGTGATGAGACTTCATGGGTTTAGATTCTCCTCCATTTCTAGAAGACATATTGTCACCATAAACTCCCAGTTCCTCTGGCTCTTACATTACTATCTCATGTCATCTGGGCTTTCCATGATCCCTGGCTCTACCGTTGTGCGCTTTGGTTGTGGTTTTCTGTTAGTGATCTTTGTCCATTATAAAGTTCCCGTGATGAGTGATCTCATCTGTGAACTACACTGTGGGTATAAGGTCGTGTCTTTAGAGGATAGTTAGGAATTATGCTGGTTTGTTAAAGTAGCAGTTGTAGGTTCTCTCCCAAGATCCATGCCTTCACTAACCCTGGGTGGTGGGCTAGGTGTCCGGCACGCAGGCTGCTGCTGCCTCCGTAGGGTTCGTGTGCCACGCTGGTCGTCGCTGTGGCTCGCAGGCACGTGGCAGGCAGGGCTCTTGGTTGCTTCTTTCTTTGGAGCCTCACCTGACACCTTCTCGTACCATGAAAGCTTGTCTCCAAGGAGGGGCCCTCAGGTCAGTTTCAGCTCAGGTTCGCTGTGAAACTCGTTTTGTATTAAGCTATTCTTCTAGTATTTTTTACAGATGTACAAGTACAAAATGACATTTTAAACTTTGTGTCTATAAGCTAAAATCATACTTATTAATACACACTCTTATCTTGATGCAGTCTTAAAACTGTAAACTATTCATAGTTGTTAGTACATCTTGGCCAATTGTGAACCAATAATTGTAGATTTACTACAGGAAAAAATAAAGATATTGTACTTTTTTGGTGAGAAAACTCTTGTTTTTAATAGTTCTATGTTGGTTAGACTTTTGCATTTTGTGTTTTTACTGACATTCCTCTGCTGTAGAATCCTACTCCATTATTGACAAGACCATGCAAGTTATAAGCATCAGGCACATTGCACAATAATTTACTCAAACTTTAACAAGATACAGCATTGTCTCCAGAAGGCATTTCTGAGAAGAGCAACTTGTCATCTTTACTCTGTGATCTGTTCAGAAAGATAAGTTCTCTCTGGCCTCTAAACCTTGTAGTGCAGTGTGGGGCAGGATAATAAACACCCGAGCACTCACTATTAAACTTCCTCTTGAAGATTTACCACAGTTATTTCAGGTTCCTCTGAAGCAAAGCTGCGTGTGGGACCTTCTGGTGTCCCCACTGTCTCTGCCTCTTGCTCTCCAGAATGCTCTTGACCTTTCTCTTTCATTCTCATTTTTAGGGAGAAAAAAAAAAAAGACATTTTCAGGTGTCATGAAAGACACTGAAATTTCTGCCTCTAATTTTCTTAAATTTAAAAGTTAATGGTAAGGAAACCATGTTTTTGGCAGTTAAATTCCTGTTTATTAATGTAGTTTTTCTCTCCAAATTTCAGTCTTCTTTCTGATCCTTCAAAGGTTACAAAAATCTGCTCTACTAATAAAAAAGTAAGAAGCATTCCAAAAATCACTGAGAAGTCAAAATTGCTTCATTTACTATCCTAGTAAATAATCCAAAAAAAATATCCAAATGAATACTTTGGATCCCTCTTAGAGAGGAGCCCGTAAAGGAAGTTGGGGAAGAGTAGATTTGATACCTCCTCTTGCCTCCCTGTCCTCAGAAACACGCAGGGACCCACAAGAAAGTGAGGTGCCTTAGTGTAAAGGAGTAGAGTTGGGAGAACAGGCCTTCGTCCCTGACCACTGTTTGTGCTCCGTCAGAGAGTGCAGAGTAGAAGCTGGCTTGGGCTCCTTGTCTCTCCCTTCTACCCCCTCTCCTCTCTCTCCATTTGATGCCTCTTTCCACTGTATTATGTCACCACAATGAAGCAGGATTTGTAGGGGGAAAAAAGAGAAAGGTGTGTGGTGGCATTTCATTTGTATTTTAATAAATAAAGCTTGCCTGAAGTTGAGAGAGTAAAACAGCCCCACTGGTCAGCCTTACAGCAGGCAGTGGTGATGCGCACCTTTAATCCCAGTAGCTCCTTTAGTTGCCGTAGAAACCGGGCGGTACATACCTTTTATCCCAGGGTTCACGCCTTCAATCTCAGAACTAGACAGGATTACAAAATGGGAGGGGACAGCTCTCAGTCTCATTCTGAGATTCCTGGAGGCAGGATCGCCATTTTTGGACTGCGGTCATGATCAGAGTCAGTAGCTGACTGCTTTGCTTTTCAGATCTTCAGTTTGAATCCCAATTTCTCTCTGGGTTTTTATTAATTGTGCTTCAAGGGTGCCTACTCACCTGCTACAGTCAGGAATGCTATTTTTATGCAAGTGAATGAAGTGTCCTTTTCTGCAGCCCTTTGTTCGCATCTACACAAACATCCGGGCAGTTCACATTGTTGTCTTGTCCCTTTAGGTGGAGTGGCAGTCTCTGTTCAAATGGGGTTGCCCAGGCTAGGTTTGAACCCATGACATAAACAATACACAGTGTTCCCCAATAGCTGGTACTAGAGACTTATACCACAGCACTACATCTAAATGTCTGTGGCTTTGAATAACCTCCTACGTGTTCTCACTTGAAATCTCCATTGGAAAAAAACGTCTAGTTAAAGTTGTTTTTACACTAAACGTAGCAAAATAGCCAAGATTAAGTCTAACATCGTTATTTCAGAATTCTGGCTTAATCCTATATTTTACTATGCGGAATATATTTTGCAAGATGGTGATAAAAGTACAAATACTTTATTAAAAACTTTGATATCAATAGAATTTGTAGGATGGGGAAAAGCACATGGTGGCACATGCCTGTAATCTCATCAGTCAGAAGGCTAACGCACAAGATTGCTGTAGCTATCAAGAAAATTATCTTGTTAAAAAAAAATGAAGGTCATTTTTATGTAGTTACATGTTTATAAAGTTTTTCTCCTGTCTCATAGTGACAGGATATTGTTCCTCATATTTAATCTCATTTTAAATTTATTCAAGCAAATTCTTTTCAGAAATAACTATCAAAAAGAATTTTATTTAGGTCTTAGATTCCTTGAGTATATCCTATTGATGACCGTCTGGGATTGGGCCTGTTTGCGTTGTGTAGTGAGCGCATGGGTGTGTGCACAAGCAGGCCCCCTCGTGCACGGTCTGATAAGGGACCCTGAAGCTGCTGGGGGCGGGGGGGCCAGAGCTTCCCTGCTACCACTCTCCTCTGGGTAGATGCCGTCCTTGCTTGTTGAATTGCTACCTCATTTTGGTTTTGAAATTATCAACTATCAGAAATTGTTTTCATTAGGCCCCTTTTCTGAAATGATCTTCTTAAATAATCTTTCAGATTGGAAGCTTTCTTAGAATCTATAGCGTCCATACCAAACTTCAGCCCGTTAATTCAGAGTCCATGACTTCACTGATAAGGTTGGAGTTTCATCTTCATGGAGGGACCAGCTACGGTCGGGGGATCAGAGTCTTACCAGAAAGTAACCCTGATGTCGATCGGCTGAAAAGGTGAGGTTTTTTTTTTTTTTTTTATATCCCTGCTTGGAAAATATAAATATGATCATCATTAGGTTAATTTATAAGGAAGTATCATTCCTGGGTTGTGTGTGGCCTTTGTCTTTTCCCTGCTTCTCCTCATGGACTTGTGGAGAATTTAACTCCGACTCTAGCCCTGACTAGGCCAACTGGGCCTCTGACCTTCCCATTCCAGTCTAGGCAGAGTGGGTCACTGATATTCTTCCTTAGACCCATCCCCATACTGTTTATTTTTTTAAATGTAAGCCAAGTGAAAAGTGACTCTTAGTCCAAGTAGTGAGATGTAGTAATGCCAGTATTATAAGTTTTTCAAAAATTAAATTTGTCAGTCTACTGTGTACAGAAAAATGTTCATATTCTAGAGGGAAAATCAATGCATCTTCAAAGAGAAAGCACAACGTTCTGTAAACTGACAAAATTATTGTCATATCAGTTTTAATTCATTTCAGTTGCTTTTAACATTAAGTTTCTATTTTACTAGTTCTATATTATTATAGCTCACAGTGTACAGCATATTATTTAACTTTTCCATTATTTTTTCTTAATTAAATCTTTTTTATACAATACATTTTAATTATCTTTTTCCTATCTCTTCCCAGGTTTTTCCCTCCTTCCTACAAACCTAACTCCATGTATTCTCTCTCTTAAAATAAACAACAACAAAACAAACAGGAAAACAAATCAAAACACACACGCATACACAAGAAGAAAATCAACAGACTGAAAATAACAAAGCAAAAAGTGCATCTAAAAAAAAATTACACAGAGTTCCTTTTGTATTGGCCAAATACTCCTGGCATGAGTCCTGCCCCCTAGAGCGTGGTCAGCATGCTCAGTGACTTTCCCTTGTCAGCATGTGTTCTTTGTTAAATTAGCGTCTTGGTTTGGGGTTGGACTTTGTGTCCACCTTCCCCTCTCAGTGCTGGGATTTGGTCTAATTTGATGTGTGGGTCTTATGAATGCTGTTGCAGTCTCTGTGAGGTCATGGATACATCCACCTGTTGTTCCTGGAAGGTGCTATATCACTGGAGACATTAACCACCTCTGGCTCTTAGAGTTTTCTGCCTCCTCTTTTTCGTAGATTTCTGAGCTTTGAGGGGAGGGCTTTGATTCAGACCTGACTGCTTCAAAGTCTCTGTGTTCTCTTTATTAATTGCTATCTACCACAAAAGGAAGCTCTCCTGGCGAGGTTGAGTGATGCTCTGCGTGACGGATCCACCAGTGTGTCATTAGGGGTCGTTCTGTTGCTGTTCCTTTAGCAGAAAAATAGTTTTCCCATAAGGCCCATGGCCTATCTAGTCTTTGGTTCTTGTCCACATAACATTGTCATGCATGGGTACCATGTAAGAGAGGTTTAAAATCTAATTTTTAAAAGTGGTGAGTAACTTCTATAACATTTGTGCCAATATTGCACTGGTATATATTGCAAATCAGTGTCTGCTGCAGGTTACATGGTTTGTAGCTGGGTGAAATTGATTCTAGCTTTGAACTTCATTATTTTTTCCTATCACTTTTTTTCTTTTAGGTATTATTTCTTCTTGTTTTTCTGGAGCTTTTGAGCATGTTCTTACATTATTAGTACAAAATACCTCCAGTGTTTTGCTGTCGGCTCTAAATTTACCTCTTAGATCCATTTTCATTGTGTCCCGTAAATTTAGGTATGTTATATTCTCATTTTCATTGAATTCTATAAAGTTTCTTGTTTCCTTAATTTCTCCCTTGGCCCAGTTCTCTTTTCAGTAATGGTTTCTTCCGTGTCCACAGTTCATAAGCTGCTGTTGACTGCGTTGTTGGTGTTCAGCTTTGCTCCATAGAGGTCAGATGGGATCCAGGGAGTTATTTCAGTTTTCTGGTATCTGTTGAGACTTGGTTTTTGTCCTAATACGTAGTCAGTTTTGGAGGAAACTCGATAGACTGCTGAAGAGAAAGTATGATCTTTGGTATTGGGGTGAACTGTTCTGTAAATGCTGTTAGGTCCACTTAGCTTATGATGTTGTTCAATTCAACCATTTCTCTGTTTTATCAGGAGGACCTGTCCATTATCAGGGGTGAGGAACTGAGGTCAGTCGCTATTAAGGTGTGAGGGTTGGTGTGTTTTTTTACTTACAGTAATGTTTCTTTTATGAATTTGGATGCCTTTGTGTTTGGTGCATAAATATTTAGAATTACAACATCCTTTTGGGTTTTTATTGGGTGTGGTAGTGTCTTTCTATCATTTCTGCTTTGTTTTGGCTTGAATTCAATTTGTCAGATATTAAAATCGCTACATTTGCTTTCTTCTTCGTTCCATTTCCTTGAAATACCTTTTTCCATTCTTTTGCCTGAGGTGGTATCTATCCTTGAGGTTATGGTGTGTTTCTTGGGTACAACAAAAGGATTGATCCTGTTTTCTAATCCAGTCAGTATGTCTTTTTATTTAGGAATTGGGGCCATTAATATGGATAGCTATTAATAAATAGTTCGTATTTATTAATTCTTAGTGCTTTCTTATTGTGGTGTGGGCTTCCTCCCCCCTCCTCAATTTAGACCAACTTCTAAATTTATACAAATTTATTCCTTGTATCCTCTTGAGTGTAATTAACCTTCTCTTCAGACTGAAATTTTCTTTCTTTCTCTTTTCCGTAGAGTTGGATTAGTTCACAGAAATCGCTTGAATGTGTTTTTATTGTGAAATGTTTTTCTTTCATTGTCTGTTGTGATTGGTAGTTTCACTGGTACGTTTGTCTGAGCTGGCATCCATGATCTCGGTCCAGGCCCTTCTGGCTTTAGAGTCTCCACTCTAAAGTCTGCTGTTATTTTCATAGGTCTGTTTTTATGTGATACTTGGTCTTTTTCCCTTCCATCCTTTAATACCCTTTCTTTGTTCTGTTTATCTAGTCTTTCCATTTTGAGGATCATGGGGAGTTTCTTTCATGGTCCTTTCTATTTGATTCTGTATGCTTCTTATACTTTGATAAACATCTCTTTAGATTGGGAAATTCTCTGTTGTTATTTTGTTGAAAGTATTTCTGTGCCTTTGACCGTTTTATCCGTCCTCACTTATTCCTGTTATCCATGGAAGAGATCTTCCCATGGTGTCCCAGTTTGTTCCTGTTATCCATAGAAGAGGTCTTCCCATGGTGTCCCAGTCTGTCCTGTTATCCATAGAAGAGGTCTTCCCATGGTGTCCCAGTTTGTTCCTGTTATCCATAGAAGAGGTCTTCCCATAGTGTCCCAGTCTGTCCTGTTATCCATGGAAGAGGTCTTCCCATGGTGTCCCAGTCTGCTGGTTAGTCTGACTTTTCTGTCAGTTTCTTCTACCCTGTATCAAGACCTAAAGGTCTCTCTTCCATAGCTTGTACTCTGTTGGTGAACTTAGAGTTCCTTGCTTGACATCTTTACTTTTTCATTTTCAGGTTTTATTTCAGTTTGTGTTTTCATTAGTATTTTTTTATTAAATTCTACCTTCATATCTTGAATTGTTTTCATTATTTCAACTGTTTGAGTTTTCAAATATTTTATTAAGGCATTTATTCCTATCATCTTTAAGGTCTTTAAACATATTCATAATTGCTATGTTAAAGTCCTTGTTTTATATTTTAGCTAAATTGCTCTGCTCAGGGACTATTGCAGAGGAGTTGCTGCCTTCTGGAGGAGCCATATGGCCTTGGGTGCTTGTGTTTGTGTTTCTGTGCTGAGCTAGGCGTCTGGTATGAGGATGTTCCGGATGTTTCTTGGTGTAGATATCTAGTTTTGTCTGTGTTGGGTAGGTGTTCTGTTCTTTGATTTGTTTTGCCCAGTCTGTATCCTATCCAAGTATGGCAACTGTGGGATCCCTGCGTCCCAGTGAAAGGTGATGGCTGCAGCATCCCTTGTAGAGAGAGAGAGCTGTTCTGCTAGTTGGCAGGGGTCACAGAGGAATGGAGATGTGTAACATGACGGGCCAGCTTGTTGGAGTATTTGTCCCGCCCGGGTACCCCACAGCTGGCAAGCCCCAAAGAAAATTACACACAGAGATCTCTGTAAGGTTATAAACTGATTGGCCCATTAGGTCAGGCTCCTTATTAGTCCTTGTAACATATATTACCCCATTATCCTTATCTATGTTAGCCACATAGCTCAGTACCTTTTTCAGCTGGGCAGGTTACATGCTGCCTCTTCGGTGGTCTGCACAGGAATGGCGGAGGGAGTTTCCTCCTCCCTAGCCTTATCCTATTCTCATTGCCCCGTCTCTACTTCCTGTTTGGTTGACCCGCCTATACTTCCTGCCTGGCCAATCAGCGTTTTATTAAAATACATGATTGACAGAATACAGACAATTCTCCCACACCAGAGATGGGCTATAAGGAGAGGCTGAGAGGGGTGACGTTGAAGAATTAGTGGGATCTGGGTCTGTACCAAGACCCTGAGTGTCCTAAGTGGATGTGAACAGGGAGGAGGGGCTCCTTAGGTAGGCAGACTGCAGCCATACAAAAGCTAAGTGGAGACTAAAATGAGGAGGACAGGAAGAAGGATGTTGGTCTCCCCTGGGTCTCAGCCTAGTGTGGCAGAGAGGGGTTCTGCTAGTCAGTGGAGTCAAAGAGTCAAAGTGGAATGAAGATGGATGAGCTAGAAGCAGAGGCTAACGCGGACTGCCAAGCGAACTGCCAGGTCTAGCTACAGGGGAGAACAGAGGCTCTTTCCATACCAACTGGCGGTGTCCCTAGTAGATGCTGCTTGCTTTTCCAAACTTGAGTGACAGTCTCTCAACTGCGAATGTAGCCATTCAATTCCCAGATAGTGTGTTTGTTTTTGTAGTATTATAGTGACTGGCTCATCCACTCAATATCTTTTTTACCTTTGCTCTTAATTTTGAGGATGTTGTAGTCCTCTGACAGTTTTATAAAAGCCATAGACAGTTGGGTAGAATCTGGCACATTTTATGATTGTATGAACTCCTAAATTTAATGAATAGAGGTAAATTGCCGTATTGACTTTCTTACTCCATTTGACTTCACACTTTTGTGTTTCAGAACTTTAGAATCTGTAGATTTGGCAGCCATTCAGCTCTCAAATGATACCTGTCAATCAGAGGAAGAAGACAACTGTTTAACACCTTCAGGTAAGGACGATGTGTGGCTGACATTTTACTTCCTCATGATCCCACGAGCACAGTTATCCTTTAGAATGTTTTCTTCCGTCTCTTTACACATGTTGTGCATGTGTGTTCACATTAAAACAACACCTTCAGAATTTGTCCTTGTCGTATCCAAAACTAAGCGTGTCTGTTTAGTGTGTATTCACACTTTCAAATTAGAGTAACAGTGATTACTTACTTTATGATATGGGTATAGTTTTTTTTGTATTCATTGAAAAAAAATCTGATTGGATTTCCTAGGCAACAACTGTTTTGCTTATCAGTTTCTAAAAGGAGCAAAGGTTCCTTTATCTTTATCTTAAGTAGTCCATAGCTTTTGTTCAAGGGCATCTTGGATTTTGATGCAGACTGGAGTCATCCAGATCTCACAAAGCTATTCTTTTAGTAGAAGTTAATGGACATGTGTGTATGCTTTCGTGCTGGGCTCTGTGGTCGTGCTGGAGCATATGTCAGCAGCTCCTGACTTGATGTGGAGTGTGAGGAGTGATGGGAGAGCGTCTAGTTAGAGTACCTGTTCCCTTTTCATGTTTATAGAGCCCCAGTGCCTGCCAGGACATCAAATGAGCTAAATGAATTTATTTCGTGGCTTCTGTTTTCCACTTGTGAGTGTATTGTGATGTATGTGCTCTCCCTTACTAATAATTTTTAGTGGTTGCAAAATCATTTATGAATTGTCTTCCTTTCTTTGTCAACAGTCAAAGTGTGGGTTGATTTCTAAGTTCTCTTTAATATGTTGGTTTGCCAGTCTTTATGACAATACTATAGTTTATTGACTACTGTGTCTCGAAGTCATGCAGTATAAATACATTAATGTTCTTCTGTCGTGATCTTCAATTATCTAAATTCCCCTTTAAGACAGGAGAAATGTTGCCTATCAATTTTTGTGACTAGCCTGTTATTTTTGTTAGAATTATGTTGAATTTACAAATAAACTGGGGGGAAAGACATTTGAACATTTATATATGCTTTCTTCAGTTTCTGTGGATAGTGTTACGTAGTCTCGGTTTTACATTAAGTTTCTAACAGATATTTTAAAGAGCTACATATTGTGTTATTTTCTTTTCTCTTCCTGTAGACTCTGGCTCAGACTTGGTTTCACTGTACGCAGTAGAAAGATGTCAACAATTCTGTGCTACAAGTAAGGCCACTTCTGGTACAGTGACTAATGCACATGAACCTGCTTAGTAAGCCCACCTTTGGTACAGTAACCAACTCACAGATACTTGCTTTGCATTTCCCAGATAATCCCTTCGTACCTATGAGTGACAGTAGATCCTCATAGGGACACTTAAAGCTTATATTTAGCTTTTATTCCCTGCCTCATCCTACAGTGGTATAAGATAGAACCCATACATGTACATATTTCTATATTGAATATGTGTTTTAATTTATAAATAATTAAGATTTATAAAATTTGTAGTATTCAACATGTTCTAAGCTTAATGATATAAATTCTACTCTGACATTAATTTCAATAAAATTATGTAATGTGTTTAACATTGTACATGTAAGAAACTCTTTACCCTGTGCCCCAGAACAATGATAGTACATATTTACCAGATACATCCTTGTTATATCATCTAAGTTGTGGTCAGAAGTTCATTAAATAGTTCATTAAATGTATGGTGCTATGCAGTGGGTGTTTTTCCTGTTGGAGAAAGGAGGTGGAAGCATGGAATGGGAGCTGGAAAAGAAGCCTTCTAACCAGGCCTTCGATGTTATACAAGAGTTGTCGTAGGTGCGCTGCTCAGAGGCAGGACCTCCAACGGCAGGCAGCATATTTAGTGCACATGAAAATGTTCCGGGTGTCTCTGGAGGAAAAGCAGATTCCAAAAACATTCTCAGCTAACAGTAAACAGCCAGTCTGCGACAACACGCTCCTCAGATTAATGTTAGTGATAGGTTAGAATCCAGTGAGTAAACCCAGGATGTCTGAACTCAGCTTGCTAATGAGGAAATAAACTGGGATTGGATAGAAAACTCTGTGGTCTAAAATGGCTACCTAATGTAAAAAAGAAAAAATACTAAAATAACATTTGCCAGCACAGTGGTAATTATTGGTTTGTGAGTCTGTGGCTTTTAAACTACTAGATTCTAAATGTTTGATAAAGAATAACACGTTTACCTTTGCAAGTTAGAAGGATGGGGAATTGGTTCAGAATGGATTAAGCTAACATCCTTTAATCCGCTGCTCACCAGTTCGCTCCCCTGGGGGAGAAGGGGAGAAGTCCGTCCTCATGGGTCCTTCCTTGGGTGTATTGAGACGTACACTGTCATATATGTAGTCTCTATGCCAAAAAGCATGATCAGATCTCAGGCTGAGAAAAACAAACTAGCTGCACCAAAGCAGATTTGTACTGAGCAAAATAACCACTTGCACCCCTCAGACCAGCGTCGTAAGGTAAGTAGGCAAAGGAGCCTGAGCACATGAAAGATAAATGTGCATTGTTTAGAACTACAGCAGAAAGGCAAAGACAGCTGGAGAGAGGTAAGTATCTGACAATCCCATAATAGTCTTAAATCTGTGCTAATTATTTGAAGCAGGCACTGCAGCTATATGAAGGAAACACATTGTTTGCATGAAATATTAAAGTGTTCAGGGGGCGGCAGATCAGGATATGATATATATAGGGAGAGGCGGAGCAGAGAGCAGAGTGAACGCGCCGGTATACAACTGTTTATGAATCTTTTTAAAGCATGTTCAGGGGGATTTTATGTTCTCACTGTATTTCCTGAAAGTAATACAAAGTTTAAAGTTTTTGAAACAGTGTCTCAGAATGCGATCTGAAGCAACTGTTTCGTTTTACTTTAAATTGATCAAGTCTGCCTGGCAGGGAAGTATTTCACTGCAAGCACTCGGCTGTTTACCACAGGAAGGAGATATCTGTGAGGGTCTTAAAGCTGTGAACAGAAGTGATTTTCCTGGGTTTATGAAGTTTACAAGGCTGTGTACAAGTTTCGTTCTCTAAACTAGGAAAGCGCACCCTAGAACAGCTAAGAGCCTGAGGAGCAGCTCCTGTGCTAAGCTGTTTAGGGTTAGACTCTTCCCAGTCAGCCCAGTTTCCTGTATTCCAGTTCCGTAGTTCTGTTTGCCAGTCACTCGCTCTGTTCTCAGGCCTTCTCTTCCCGTGTCACTCTGACTGCTTCCCCTCTTCATCATCCCCTCTTTCACCATCTTCCCTTTCTGCCTGCAAAATAAATCCCTTCTCATGCAAACACTGTGATAATTGGGTTCCGCCAAATAACCGTTTCCAACTCACATTCTGGCTCTTTGATAAAGGACAGCTCAGTAAAGTCTTGAACCCAGGTCAAAAGACCGTGTGACAAATAATATTTGGTGAATGTGTTATTTTTAAATATCTCTTGATCAAATTCTAGTTATAAATAACATAAGCTACTGCCTGAAAATATTTGTCTAAGAGATTGGCAGTGAGCAGTTTTACATGTTCTACAGGTACCATTCGTTTTATTGGTGAAATAAACCTTGCTGTTTTCCATAAATTAGACTTTCCTGGGAATTTCTATTCGCCCCACAGAGAAATACTTTTGTGCTTCGTATATAATTAAAATATCCGTTGTCCTGCTGTGCACCTGGCTCTGTGTCCATGGACCAAGTGCACATCTCGAATCACTGTGACTGTAGCTGAGATTAACTTGATTTTATGGTATATATTTGTTTCAGGGAAGTTCATGCTGAGCATACCTGAGACCTGGACTTTATTTACTCTTATGCAAATGTTCTTTACAGAGCTTACAGATCAGCACTGTTTAGAGAAGACACCACTGCGCACCGTTCTGAAGGGAAGCGCCCCTCGACAGTATCGGATCCTAGCAAAGCTGAGATCCTACGAGCCCAGAAGGCTTGTCCAGTCTGTTAAACTTCTTTGTCCCAAGTGCCATTCACTGTAAGTATTTTCCAATTAAAAAGTTTTCGTCTCATATTGTTTGACTGTATGCCTGCCCATATGTGTTTGCTTGGGTGTGTGTGGTTTTAAGCCCTAAGAAATGGGTAAATTATGATTTAATTTGTTGTATTTTAAAAGAACGCTAATGGTTTAAAGGGAAAGTGCTAAATTACTACAAAGAAAATGTTTTGAGTCATTCTTAGTAATAATAAATAAAAATGGATATTTTCAGGCTTGGAATCTAATGTTTGGTAGCTTTTATACAAATATAGTAAGTGCAGTACCTTCATTCCAGACATCAGCTTTTATGTATAAACATGGACACCGAGCGTTTTTTATTCTCAATACATATTCATCTCAAAACATGATAAAAGAGTTTTAAATCCTGTTTATTTTTTTCAATGCAGTGAACCATAGTTCCTCAAAATACAGAATGGCATTTGGAGAAATACAGGTAGTGCAGAAACATGCACATTGGGATAGTGTATATCTTAGGGTTTTTATTACTGTAAAGAGACAGCATGAACGCATAACTCTAATCAGAAAAACATGTAATGGGGTGGCTCACTCATGATCTCAGAGGTCAGTTTGTTTTCCCTGTGGTGGTGGTGGTGGTGTTCAGGCAGATGCCCTGTAACTGAGAACTTTTCCAGAATAAAGTCATGCTATGATGTCCTTCTAGATAAAGCATTTTAGAAAGTGTGAGAGAGAACCTAAAGATCCACTGCATGCCCACCTGGTGACAAAATCAGGAGAGGCACTTCAGCCCTTTAATTCCAAACCATGCCATTTTACCACATGGTAGTTAATTACGCTGGTATGAATTACCAATTATTAAAAACAATGAAGCTAATAACTTTTTAAAGTATGTCCCCTGTGACAATGAGATTAACTGGGGTGAAAACTTGTTCAGGACAACCAATTGGGACTGGGAATAACTGTAGGTCACCTTGGGCTCTATACTGGGCCTGGATCATAGAAATGGGTCAGTAGGTGTTGCCAAGCTTGATGATGTGACCAACATGGTAGGAGATTGTTCTCTGACCTCTACAGACTCTGTAAATACAACCTCTCTGTGATTATGGGAATGGATTTATCTAGCCATATGATGTTAAACACCTATTGAATAAAATTTGTTAAATCTGAAATTAAATTCAATTCATTAAATCTTAAATCCCTAATTTAAACAAGCTTAGCTGATTTAATTTGAGTAATTTATTCAATTGGAATTTTTAAAGTTATACCTACATTTTTCACTAATAATTTGTCATCAATCATTTTAGGCAAGAAGTTCCATGTGAGGAAAATGTGGATAAAATTTTTCAAGATGCTGCAACTAAGTCCCCAGAGAGCAAACTGCAAGGTACGCCACTGTATGACTCAGAAGTCTGGGCCACCAAAGACCAAGGAGGGCGCCGTGTCACCGTCCACTTTGTGAAGATTGACGGCGTCCTCCCTCTTTCAAGTGAATGCCTAATTCTGATAGAAGGTGAGACACTTGCGATTGGATTTTTCAACTGTTCTTTTGTATATTTTCTCCCCATTGTTGTGCTCTGTATTTTATGGTACTTTGTACCTTTGAAGTAAAAGTGCTGCCAATTTAAATTTCTCAGCACAGGATATCAGATTCAAATGTGTGAGCACACACATCTACTTGAATTGCACGTTCATAGTGTGCATCGAACTTGCATTTACCCACATTATGGATTCCTGTCTAATCTCATCAGCTCAGAGTGGATTTCATAAATTATATGAAGCTGTCATCTTGGCCTCTGGGTGTCACTGTTGGGTCATAATACTGGGATGAAAATCACCAACCGTAGAGTAAGGAGCCTAGAAAAGCCATGATAATTTGTCAGCTCTAAGAGATGGAAATTGTGCTATTTCCTGTCCTTTTTCCACCTAATTCATATGTAACAGTTCATTTTTTCTTTATCATGCAAAGTTTAAATTTTTTTCTAAGCTTGTGACTCCCTTTGCTGTGTATTTCTGTGTAACACTTGCTGTGGGAGGTCCTTCTGTGTCTGTGTTGCTTTTATTGGTTAATGAATAAAGCTGTGTTGGCCTGTAGCGGGCAGAATAACCAGGCTGTAAGAGATATAGAGAGAGTGTAGATGAGTCAGGGAGACACTGTGTAGCTGCTGGAGGAGGTAGATACCCTTACCAGTAAGCCACAGCCTCATGCCAGTGTACAGATTAATAGAAATGGGTTAATTTAAGATATAAGAATTATTTAATAAGAAGCCTGAGCTAATGGGCCAAGCAGTGTTGTGATTAATATAGTTTCTGTGTGAGTATTTGAGTCTGGGCGGCTGGGAACCAGAAAGTAGTCTCCATTTACAAAACGGCACCAGCTTGGGGCAACTACATCCACATAAAACCTTAGCGAGCTTGGGGAGGAATTCTAGACACAAAAGGACAGAGTTGAGCACGGCTTCTCGGCAGCTACTTCTTCTTTCAGACAGGCTCTGTTTACTAGCAGTGAACAGAGGTGTGGCTCCCCTAAGAGAAGGCTTCCTGACTCAGCATAAGAAGCAAAAACTGCAAGACTTCTTTAAACAGTGACTTTCTGGTTCGTGCTGGTGGCACAAACTCTGGCTCTTCCGGGAGGTCCTAAACTTAAATGGGGTTTGTGAGCCGTGTGCTACAAGTTGATCAATGGTGACACAGACCCGCTGCTCCCCTGCAGCTGGGGCGGTGATCATGCCTCACAGAGCTGGCAGTGAACGTACCTCCAACCACGCTGGACTGGGTAGAGCCAAAAGGCAAAGCAGCTGTAGTTGTAGCCACGCCACTTAGCGTTTTAAGAAGCGCTCTTGGTCAGAAAATGATTACAGATATGCAATGAAGACAGATGGAGACAAAAATAAACCTCTGAACGGGTCACAGTGTGTTTGAAATGTACGTAGGCTTGCGAGAGAGAAGGGAAGGAGTATAGGCAGTTATAAAAAGAAGTAAATAGTTTAAAGAATAAAGCAGTCTTTAAAGAGACAGAGTACAGACAGTCATAGATTAAAGGAGTAAAGAAAAATAAACCATGTAAAGATGGGATATACACAGAGTCTGGATGATGTACATTATTGTTTTCTATGAATATTTTGACTGCAAAGAGACTTTTGATTCTGGGGGCAGCTAAGTTAAACCAACAGCTTACTTACTTCCTGCATCTTGTTCTGATTCCATGTGGCTTTGAAGAGTTTCTTTATTGTTTTACAGGAGGACGGCTCTGTGAAATCTCTAAACTGTCAAGCATGTTTGGCGGTGTGATCCCTGTGAGGTCCGGCCTCGAGGACCTGGAGCTCCTAGACCTTGCAGCACCATTCCTCATCCGAGGAAAGGTGTGTCACTATGGGTGTGTGTTCCTCTCGAGCATTTGGGAATTACAACTGTGTCTCCATTGCTTATCCTCCAGCTGCCCTATGTGCAGTTGATGCTATTGTGCCCGCTCCTACTTAGAGACAGTTCTCAAGGAATAGTGATTGCGTCCCAGGGATGCAGGTTGGTACAGGAGCAGCAAACTTTCCCTTTCTAGTCTGGTGGTGTGTGACGAAACAGTAACCATGCTAGGGAGTGATAACAAGCAAGGGCTCTCTGTCGGTGACTGTGTGTGGCGTGTATCCTCACTCAGTGTTTCTTGTGTGTTTATAGAGGTCTAAGCACTCTGTGTGCAACATATAAGGCTTACAACATTTTGTATCTCAGACACAAACTAAACTTGTTTCTTGCACAAGAATTGAGGTATCAGCTAAAGGGACATTTCAGAGTTGCGAACTGAGTAAGTTCCAGAACTGCATACAGCATTTTGCAGAGTTACTGCCACTGAAGACTGGCAGAAGTGTGGAGCCTGCAGCTGGAAGGAGGGCAAAGTAAAGCGCCCTATAGTTCTGATGAAACAGTCGCTCTGAAAATGCTTTGCTTTGAGATCTTGTTACCCCATATCTCGACTCCCTCATTTTCTTTTTAAATGCATAGCATTTGTTAGTTGTTGTTATAATGAACCTAAATTTTAATTTTCACTAAAAATTTACTTTCTGCCATTGTCATAGCTGCATGATTGTGACCCTGAAGGTCACCAGGGTAACCGATGGGCTTCGCTCTTGGTTTTCTTTCATACACAATGGGTGAAAAGCTTCAGCAGTAAAATAAAAATGAATGTCTGTACTTAATTCTCTGAAGCACCCAGTGTCTTTATATCTTTAAATGTCCTGGAAGGTTATATACCACTTAGTTGAAATATCAAAATGCATCGTTTTCTGTTGTTCTTTGAATAAGTCATTGACTAGGCTTTGCTTCTGACAGGACCATCCCTCATTCTTTTCTCTCCCTTCATTTCTTCTAACCTTCCTAGTACACAGTGCTGAAGTCTAACCCCAGACACCAAGAGTTAGTACCAGCTTGCTCTATCAACTTGTCTAATATTAGTGATTTATTTTTTATTCCATTATCTTTTCATTATTACTGTTAGTGAAGAAATATCTATATATTTAATGATTAAATGAATCCTCTTTCCCAATTTATAAATTACAAGTACTCTCGAGTTCTAATTTTTATTCAAATATATTTTGTAAGCGTATTTTCTTACTACACCCCATACACATTTCATCTTGCCTAATAAAATTAAATTACTGATATATCCACAGGACAAGTTGTACTGAATGACATTCAGTTTTAGCAGTTGTCTTGTCTCAGATGTTCTGTGTTCCAGACAGTAGCTGACTTGCGGGCGTCATACACGATGCCTCTGAATTTGTGCTCACTAGAAACAGTAATTTGCCTGAAATCCAACTTGTCCCCAATGTTGGTTCAGAATCATTTTTTCTCGCTATATTTTTTAACACTGACCACTAGATATTGCTCATAGAGCCATAAATTCAGTGTTCCTGCAACTTCTCTCTTATGTCTTTTTGTTTTAACAGATAAGAAAATTAACAGCCAAATTATGTAATGATTTGGACCAAGAGTCCAGTTCCTGGTTCTCAGCTCCAGGTTGTTTATTCTGAAGCCCATTGTCTCTGTCGCTGTGGTTTCGTTGTGAGGAGACACCATGCCCAAGGTGTCTTATAAAAGAAAGCATTCTAGTTCTGGACTTGCCTACAGTTTCAGAGTGTTAGTCCATGGTTGGTGTAGCAGGGGTCAGGGCAGCACACAGGCAAACATGGTGAGAGGAAGAGAAAGTTACCTGGGCCTTTTGAAACCTCAGCCCACCCCAGTGACACACCTCCTAATGCTTCCCTAACAGTTTCACCAGCTGGGAAAGAAACACGCAAACATGAGCCTCCGAGGGCTGTTCTCACGGAAGCCACCACACCCGTGTCTTCTGTTTCTTCTGTGTAGTAAAGCAGTCATAATTGATTTATAAAACAACCGCATGAGTACAGGTAGTGACGTGCTCTTCTGTTTAGTAGCTGGCTTTCTAAAACTGGCCATACAGAAACAAGATGTCATACTTGAGTAAATTTCATTATTCTTAGATACTTCCCATTTTTTCTTACTCATTTACTTATTTTAGATGTAAGCAGTGCTCAGACGTGAAACCCATACAAAGCCTGAGTACCATTCCTAATAAAAGACAGTGGATTCCTTCTTCTGTGGCAGAAGGTGAGTTGTATTTTTATCCTAAAATTTTCATGTTCTTTTTTTCTCACTGACTTATATTTCAATATTTGTGAATACTTATGTCAAGACTAGCTTAATTTTTCTTAATCCTATTTGTAACAATTGTGCTAAAAATTAAGGACTTTAAATTTAATTTGAATTAAAATTTAATTAAATTAAAATTTAATTTAAAAATTTAAGATACTTGTGTTCATTTACAAGCATTGCAGTCATAACCATATCTCAATGTTTAGCCATTTGTTTTCCATCTAATCACTGATCACAGATACAGATCCTGCGACATTTCTGGCACACACCTAGTGATGGACAGGGTGCCGGGATAACTGTTACCTTCTAGTTTAGTCAGCACATGGGAGGCTGTCGGCTGCACACATGACTCACCCAGCCTTTGGTTTTAGCGTCCAGGAGCAGGGTATGTTATAAGGCATAAGTTTTAGAAAGTCCTTATGAGTGAAGTCAGGTCTGCCTACTAATGTGGATCATGTTCTTATGTACATGTTCTTTTCCTCTTCTATAAGGACAGTGCTCTTTGTAGGCCTCACAGTGTCTGCTGTGTCCCTGTTGGGTCTACATTTTCAGGCTGGCCGTCTTCCCTCCTTTATTGCTTTTCCGTTTTCCTGACTTCTTTGTCTCCTCAATCAATGTTCACTCTGCCAATGTTTTTCTGAGTTTGCCCTTTACAGCTATTGAGAGCTGTAAATTTAGTTTGGGCAACTCAAAATATAGTGAGAATTATTATTTTTGTGAGAGTGTACACCCAGATTTTTTTCTCCTAAACTGAAATTCCATTTTTTAAACATGTTTATGTGTGCTTCTTGTGGTATGTTTTGTTTTGTGGTACAACTGTCTCGTACCCTGAACCACTGAGGTCTCATGTTACTTCACATGAGCTTCTCCTGTCAAGCTGGACAATACCGTTTCCCCTCCGCCATTGTTTTGAGTTTCATCCTTCTTGGGTTGCTTCAGTGGAACTATTGAGACCCTCTGAAGCCAGAATTTACATTCTATTTTTTTTTCTGTGCCCCAATTTATTCGTCTGTCTTGCCTCCCTAATTAATCTTCCTACCATACTATGGCCTGTGAGAATGGAAGGTAATAAAACACCGCACACACCTGCAGTGTCTTCAGAGACGTTTGCCCTTGCCTGCAAGTTGTCAGCTTGGTGTCTACACTGTGTTCTTCCTTTCTCGTCATGGCAGTTATGAACCCCCAGATTCTAGCATGGTGATGCTTTCAACCAGATGACATCGCTGAAGAGAGTTAATAACGATAAGGGACGCTCTGTTCAGCCTAAAGGGGATAAGCCTTTAACAGTACTGAACCGTGTGTTGCCTTCTAGAGCATTCTATGCTTTTAATTTCATTTTTCATTATAATTAACATGTAATGAATTGCCCTAATTTGTTAGCTAATTAATTGATAATTAATTGTTATGGTTCTACCAAGTATTAGAACACAGTTCCTTATGTTATGAAACTATAACTGCATAAATCTGGTGGAATGTTCCAGAGGGTTTTGTTGCATGGTTTTAACAAATTGATCCTAGAGAAGAAAGCAGTTCTTTGTTGAGATACTCTGAGTAGCCATGGTCTGCACCTGTTCACTAGAGTAGAGCATTTCGGGTTTACCTTATAGAAAAGTCTAGCAGCCTGGAATAATATGCTCTTTTTTTTTTCACTAGTTTTGGGCATTGTTCCTCTGCAGTATGTGTTTGTTATGACTTTCAGTTTTGATGATGGAACAGGAGTATTGGACGCTTACCTTAAGGATTCTGTAAGTAAGAGACCTGGTAAAAATAATTAACTAAAGTTTTTATTTCAAATTTTTAATATTCATCCTATTTAGTTGTACTTCAGTATAACTTATTGAATCCTTTTGAACCCTAAAACTCAATTTTTTTATATTTTGTTCTTAAAAGGATTTAAAATGACTTAGAATATATAACAGCAATACAGCCACATAAATCTAAAACTTTGTGGTCTATAGCTTTTGATTAGATCAAAATTTTTAAAATGTGAAGTTGAGGAATCAAAATCTGAGGAGCCGTTCCTTCAGAAATCCCAGTGCTCGGCAAAGAGCAGCTGGGGAGCCACACGCTGTGAGCCCACTGCACTGTGCAAGGCTCCATGCTTTCCCCTTAAAGGAACTGAACTTGCGTGATAAACAGACATGTAGTATTGTATAAGGTGGAGGAGCCCCAGACACTGCTGTCATTTCTGACATTAGTAGTTTTAAGTTGAGAATTCCTTGAGGCCTCCCTTAGCTCCAGTATTCCCAAGCTCATTCTCTTTTTTTTTATAATATGAATCAAAAACTTTAATATTGAAGTTGGACACAGCAACCCAACAGGAGTTAGAGAGTCCCAGCAACAGGCACAAGAGTCATGACAAACTTGTTCTCACATTCAGGAGTTCCATGAAAATAAACATGGGATAATAGCTATAACATATACACAGGACCGGGTCGAGACCCGTGTTGGGCCCGTGCTTGCTGCTTCAGGCTCTGTGAACTCATATGTGCCTTGCATAGTTGATCCAAAGGACCGTGTTCTGCTGCTGCCCTCCACCCCCTGACTCTTAGAATTCTTCTACCTCCTCCTCTTCTGCAGGATCCCCTGAACTCTGAGGGGGAGGGATTTAGTGGGGACCTCCAGTTTAGACTCTTTCCCCCTCATGGTATGTGGCTGTGGGTCTCTGCAGGCCCAGATTTTTTCCAGTGCATGGACTTATTCTCCTGCACTGTGTATAACAGTGTACATGGAGTGCTGGCAGCTCGGGATGCCTGGCTAGGCCAGTGGTTCTCTGCCTGGCTAATACTAAAGTTTTTGGTGACCCCAACCATAAAACTATTTTGTTTTTACTTTGTAAATAATTTTGCTTCTGTTTTGAATTGTAATATAAATATCTGATATGCAGTGTCTGATTGGTGAACCCTGTGAAAGGGTCATTTCATACCTCTACCCCTGCAAAGGTAGCGACCCACAGGTTGAGTACCAGTGACGTAGGCCCTGGTGATTTCAGCACATTATTGTCATAACTGACTGCTCATGTGGCTGATTACTCTCTCCTGCATACCCCAAACTCCCCAACTTCAAATGACTTTCCAGAGCTTTCCGTAGCTCCAGTAAACAGTCAGTTCACCTGCTCCCACAAGCCATGGCATACTAAATACAGAGAGGAGGACCTATGTTTTGTTAGGGTGAGACAGTTTTGTATTTTTGTTGTTTTGTTTTGTTTATTTATTTATATATTTATTATTTTATATTTGGGGTTTGATTTGGTTTGGCTTTTTAATAACAAAAAAAAAAATGGAAAACAATCCAAGTTGCAGTTAGGTGTTTTTTTCTCCATGCTGCGAAGTTCATGCAGCCACTGAGCAGATGCTGTGCCGTGTCTGTGTTCAAAACAGAACCATGAGCAAGGCAAGAAAATCTCTTCCCCTAAACATAATGTAGAAGGGGAAGAGATTAAATAAATTTTTCTTAATGTTGCTTCATTTCGCACTCGACACTAGGTTTATTTCCTGGGTAAACCAGTGTCATCAGCCTTGCTGCATGATCCTGACTGTGCCTCCCAAAGCTGTTTCACAGTTAAAGTGGGGGTTGGCTTCAGCTTAGGCAATTCCAGTTTATGAATTCTACATCCTTAATAGGCTGATACGTATGTAAAAGATCATTTTGGCATTTAGTTCCCGAAATTCTGTGCATTGAAGCTTTTCAGACAATGACCATTTCCTTTGTCTGTCATCACTTGTAGGAGAAATTTTTCCAGATTCCAGCATCCGAAGTCCTCACTGATGACAGCCTTCAGGGGAATCTGGAAAAGGTCATGAATGTGATTTGTCCCCCAGGAATAAAAATCGGTAGGCGTTATTTTAAAGGTGCTGCTTTCCCTTTCTTGAAAAAGCACCTAGTGTGTATCTAGTCTGTAGACTGTGGGTGGAAGGAGGAAAACTATGTGCCCGTGGCAATTACTAAATGTGACCAATAACTTTACGGGATAACAGCAGAACAAAATTAATGTAAATAAGGGAAATTAAAATGTTTTGAAACACTTAATGCATAGCAGTTATGGCCACAGCATCTTTGACTCTGAGTTTGCCCATATAGCATAGAGACATTGAAACTACAGTGAAATTTCTTTATGCCAAATGGATGCAGTTTATGCAAAAAAAAAAAAATGCCCTCAAATAAACTGCATTTCTCTTGTTTTACTCAATGTGTTTCCTCTGTGGTATTAGTGATTTTCAGAATTTTCCATTTTCATTTTGCACAGCCTCTGAAGCTTAATTAGTTCTGGACAGACGCCAGCTGTGCACTGGCTCTGCGGGGGGGGGGGGGGGGGCAGTTGTGGCCGTTGTAGCTGCTGCTGCCAGGTGCTGCTGTGGCCAGCAATTCTTTCCTGTTGGAGCCTGCAGACATAAATTATGTCGAGCTGTTTGATTCTTCTAGTAATTGTTTTCAGTGCCAAGTCTCTTTTCTGTCTGCTTCTCTGCTGCTGGTGTGACTGTCGGATGCTGCTGGTGTGACTGTCAGGAGTTGCTGGTATGACTGTCGGATGCTGCTGGTGTGACTGTCAGGTGTTGCTGGTGTGACTGTCGGATGCTGCTGGTGTGACTATCGAATGCTGCTGGTGTGACTGTCGGATGCTGCTGGTGTGACTGTCGGATGCTGCTGGTGTGACTATTAGGTGTTGCTGGTGTGACTGTCGGATGCTGCTGGTGTGACTGTCGGATGCTCCTGGTGTGACTGTCAGATGCTGCTGGTGTGACTGTCAGGTGTTGCTGGTGTGACTGTCGGATGCTGCTGCTGTGACTCGGATGCTGCTGCTGTGACTGTCAGGTGTTGCTGGTGTGACTGTCAGGTGTTGCTGTTGTGACTGTCGGATGTTGCTCCTCATCAAGGTTTCTCCCTCACAGTCGGTCTCTGCACTGTAACATCAGTTTCCAAGAGATGGGAAATTTTGCTCACCTAAGGCAAAGTTTAATCCAGATACATCATTTGTTTTCAGTTTTAATTTGTGTTAGCTATTACACTTACCATGCTTAGATTTCCAGAAATAAGTCTCTGCACATGGTAGCTTTTGTCATATACAGGCAAATTGTGTGTCTGTGTGTGTGTGTGTGTGTGTATCTGTGTGTGTGTATCTGTGTGTCTATCTGTGTGTGTGTATCTGTGTGTGCGTGTGTGTGTATCTGTGTGTCTATCTGTGTGTGTATCTCTGTGTGTATCTGTGTGTGCGTGTGTGTGTATCTCTGTGTGTATCTGTGTGTGCGTGTGTGTGTGTGTATCTCTGTGTGTGTATCTGTGTGCGTGTGTGTGTGTGTCTGTGTGTGTGTATCTGTGTATCTGTGTGTGTGTATCTCTGTGTGTGTGTATCTGTGTGTGTGTATCTGTGTATCTGTGTGTGTGTATCTCTGTGTGTGTGTATCTGTGTGTGTGTATCTGTGTGTCTGTGTGTGTGTATCTGTGTGTGTGTGTATCTGTGTGTGTGTATCTGTGTGTCTGTGTGTGTATCTGTGTGTGCGTGTGTGTGTGTATCTGTGTGTGTGTGTATCTGTGTGTCTGTGTGTATGTATCTGTGTGTGCGTGTGTGTGTATCTGTGTGTGTGTGTGAGTGTGTGTATGTGTGTGACAGTGTAACGGATACCAGCCATGCACAGGAGCTCCTCACTTTATCCTGGGCGAGCTCAAGTGCTGCACCAGATTCCCTTTGGCTCCACCAGAGCTCTCTGCTGAAAGAAGCCTGTCCTACTGCCCACCAGACATGGTGTTGACATCATTGCTGCCATCATGGCAAGGCCCAAAGTTGCTCCCATCTGGGCAAGCCACATGAAGGCTAAAGCTGGTATGATCTTAAGTTCAGGTTCCGACTCTAGTAGTCAATCGAGGAAGAGCCAGGGGCAGCCCATAAGCAGTCAGCACAAGAGGAGTAAAGCGTGGGTGAGAGGATTGACGGCCTCTGCTGGCAGGAGTTTGCAAACTTGTAAATCACTTTCAGCTGAGGTTGGGTGAAAATTCTAATTACTCAGCATTGCTAGTTATATGCTTGGTTTAATGGCTAAACGGGATACTCTTTGGTCTGTAGATGCACACCCGTGGCTGGAATGCCTCATCAAGTCCTACAACGTCACAAGCGGAGCGGAGCAGCGAATATGTTACCAGATATTTGGCACCACGGTTGCAGAAGACATCATCTAGTGCGACTCTTCAGTGCTGTGCATAGGGGGTTTATAGTCACAGCACACTCTGCTGTTGTTAAAGTACCTTCAGATGTCCACTGCAGTTTAAGTTCTTTTGTGCAGAAAGACATTTCTTGTGAATGTGCGACGATACCTGCTGCTCAGCATGCCTTCAGGAGAGCTGTGCTGTTCCTGGTGGACCCTGAAGGTCCATCTCCCGCCCTGAGACTCTTGTTTCTGTGCTGCCCCCCACCGTCCCCTCGTTGGGTTTCTTTTCCTGTCCTGAGTTTTACACCAGCGGTTGATGTTAGTGTGGGTAGATGAGATATTCTTGAGCTCTTGCTTTCCTTGATAAAACAGTGGTGGCTACTTTTCTTTCATCCTGTTCCGTTTTCCTTTATTTATGCACAGAGGACGTGCTTGGCCAGTCCTGGGAAGGACGTCTTCCGGTGCCTCCACACACACGTGTTTGCTTGAGTTCAGCTTGAGCAATGTGTGTCTGAGTGAGCTGGGATGCACTGAAGAGAGGATTTGGTTTAAGGAAGAGTGGCAGAGTTGTTTGATTTGGTGCTTAAGTTGCCCATTTTAGGATGAGTCTGTCACTTTAAACCAGATGTATTTGATTTCCACTTCTCTCTGTAAATATTCCATCCTCTACCAACTAAGAGGTGATTAACTTTAGGATTTTTCTTAGCTGAAAAAGTATTATATTTTAATAGTCTTGTGTAAAAATATTCCTACATTGCAATAGAATGATATGCTTTTTAACTCAGTGGTGTTTATCAAGTTTAAAATCATGAGTAGTCAATTACTTTTGCACAAACATGTACATATGTGTATATATGCATTTGTGTATTTGCTAAAAACAGAGGGAGAACAGAACTGTGTGGCTTAAAATAATAAATAAATGCATTTGTTTCTACAACTTCATTCAGTATTTGGTGGTGATATAATATGGTGAGGTGGCTCCTGTAGTTTGAATCTTGAATGTCCTTCAGGTGGTCATAAATTAAAATTATGGCATCTTTAGGGGGTTGTGGGTAACTTAAGGTATGGAACCTAGTGGAGGAAGTTAGTTTGTGGGTGGCATGCCCTGGTCCTGACTACATCTTGTCTCACTCTTTCCTCCTGCCATGAGGTAAATAGGCCTTCCCTGCTTTTCGTTACCAAAATATCACATACAGACACGGGCCCAAAAGAGCAGGGCCTAATGACCATGGAAATTCTGAGACCATGAACCAAAATTAAATGCTTCCTCTTTATAAATGTTCTATTGCAGTAACAGAAATCTAACTCGGCTACAGTGCTCTGTAGAGCAGTTACTGGAACTGTCTGCTTACCAGGTGCTGTGCTCAAATCTTCACACATATTTAAACCTCAGAACAACTAAATAATCTAGTAAGATAGCTGAATCCTCTTGGAAAACGGACTTTAATACATTCTTATGTTCCTCTGTGCTGGAGTAATGAGTTGAGTACACATGGTCCCAGCCAGGAGTCTTAAGGTAAGGATGCTGTGAGCCCTACTTTAAATAGCTTTAGGAAATACCGAAAGGAACCAGTGTGTTCTCCTGAATTATAGAAGTCACCTATTTGATGACTCATTGCCCCTTTCAATAGCCCCAAATTCCATTTCTTTGGTGTATCAATATGTTTCTCCACCCAGCTCCCGCCATCCCTTATTTGAGATAGTGAGAGGCTGATGCTATTCAGTCAGTGAACTCTTGGTTCAAATCTTTCATAGGAAACCCATTGAATAAATATGTTCGAAATTACCAATACTCTTGGGATTTGGAGGTGGAATGAACGTTCCTTTGCCTTCAGGAAGCCCCCACTCTACTCTCAGGAGGGCTCAGGTATCACAACCTCACTCCGAATGTGTCATGCCTGCAGGTTTACAGAGGGAAACTGAACCTTGCTTTCCTTTCCATTTGCATTAAATAAGCGCTCATTGCTGTGATTTTTGTCTCTGCTGGGTGGTTTCTGTCCTCAGTTGGGGAGGAGTGTTCCACCAACACACAGTGTTTTTCCAGTGATAGCATACACATATTATCCTCATTCTGGAAATGTTCTCCTCCAGAACAGTATGGTGGTCGTTCATCATGTCACGGCCAATTGTCGGTCTTTTGTTTGGTAACATCTTCCTGATTGACCATTATCCATAGTTAATGAAGTATTTTGTTTACAGCTTCTGACTCAATTTTTCCAGTTTATGTAACATCTTGTGTAGATGGGTTGTCTTCCTCTTTCACATTTGTTTGTCTATAAGACAAAAAGAGCGTACCTTAAAACCAGAGATGTGCCTGCCTGCGGTTTCTTTCATTGGTGTCCCTTAATGGTGACGCTTCTCTTGAGAGAACTGCACACATCAAGGCGCTGTATGCACACCTTTCCTTTGATCATTGACCACCTTGCACCTCACAAGTTGTTTATAAATGAATGGTAGAAAGACTGGTGTGAATAGAACACAAATGAATATATGATTGTCTCCTGTAAAACATTGTCTTCATAGGGTAGAGGAGCGGTGACTGCAGACTCATAATCCTCA